GGTACAGGATAACTGTCAGAAGAGGTAGATATGGGATAAAGTGATGAGTTAGTTGAGGAGTTGCGAGTAGGTTGGAGGGAAAGAAATACTGCTGAAGAAGGAAGTGAGTGATAATGAAAAAAAAAATTAGGTCAAAATTGTATTTTACAGAAATTAATCACAGTTTGCCCATGCTCCACGTTTTGGTATTTTTCCAGAAACTCTGCTGTGAAATGGTGCTTTGTTTTAAAGACACAACAAAGTTACACAAATGACTCATCCCACAGGAAGTGATTCATGTTGAAAATACAGTATGTGGATGCAGTATGGTCATGTTGAATGAGATGGAAATGGGTCCTATGAGAGAGTTGCATATGTGCAACACAATGAAAATGAGGAGTGTCTGGTGGACAGACCTCACTTCAACATGGAAACATTATCTGAAAACCGTTTTGGACATGTACTGTGTTTACTCCTATAATTCAACTTGGCTTGAATGGGACGATTCCAAGACGGTGTTTGATTAATCTGGGGTAACACTGTGAGTCAGTGCTGTCCTTCTGAAAACGCCACTGTGATGTTTGTCTCAGGCTGCAAATAAGAAATGAACATGGGTGTCAGCTGCTATTATGTATGTGCTATCAAATTGATGTGCATCTAGGATATTGTGCTGCTAGTCTATTTCAACTGTGGGAAAGACTCTTTCATACTGTATGTGCAACCTCTAATCTCCCCTAGTGCAAAAGTTTTTTTTCTAAACACGCAATATAATAGACTATTTCTACTATAGATGATAATGACAAAGCCTTGAAAAACCTCAGATTTAGCTGCCTGATATTTTGCTCTTTCAGTCACTTCACAAAATGTTCTTTAATCTTTTAATTTAATCAAATAGCAATGTTTTTTAAAAACTCAGGTTGGTAATGCCAAGAAGTTGTGCCATAGTGTCACTGTACTCAAGCTATTTCCTGGTAAGTTAATGGTTTCTGCATCAGCACTGTGGGTTTTTACAGTACATCCCTTTGATGTACAGTGCTGATGCGCTACAAGGCCTAAACAGTGCAGTGCAAGGATCCTTAGAGAAGAAATAACCTGACAAAGGACCAAATGACAAAAACAAAAGGACCTCTTTAAATTGCTTGTTTTGTTTGACCAACAGTCTCAGAGTCTAGCAGGTTTAGTTTACACAGACATAAGACAAAGAAAAGCAGGAATCATCACAAGTGGAACAAAAAGTGTTTGGCAGTTTTCTTTGAAAAGTGACGTCAACATTTAATTGATTGTGACCATATCTACATGACAGTTTTACCTCCATCATTCAGTGCAGACACTACAGACACAATTTTTGTTTTTCTCCACATGCACAGGGTTATAATTATGCACCTCTGATGCAATCTGATAAAAAGTGAAACTGCTATCCTGCACAATACAAGATAAGAGGTGGTAATTTATTGCAGTGCTTTTGCATTACAGTGCATGATATTATATGTACTTACTTAATGCTGAGGATAGCTCAGAGTTGGATTGAGAACATAAATATGACTTTGCCTTCCTGATTTACTGCGTGATTAGTGTAGCAAACATATCATGCTGTATAGTATGTCATCGAACTCACCTAACTGTCCTGTGGGAACCTTTAGCTCAGTTGGAGCAGTTTGGTTCAGTCCTGTTGCTTGAATCAGCCCTCTTGTTACATAACTGAAAATCTAACAGACAAATATTGCTGCTTCATGCTCACGATAAAAGGTACATATTCAGTTAATTGTGGTTTGTTCTGAGTCATGCTGATTATAAAAATTGTTAAAAAGCTGGTGCAAATTCTTCTCTGTGGCTGAGCTGTGTGCGTCAGTGTGTGCCAGACAAGAGCCACAGATAGCAAGACAGACTGTGTGTGTGTGTGTGTGTGTGTGTGTGTGTGTGTGTGTGTGTGTGTGTCTGAGTACACACAGACAGGCTGGCCACGTGTACAGATCTGCTCTGCTGCGCTGCCGCCTCTGTCGACTGTCACTGAGCCACTTTTTTTCTTCTCACCTGTTCACCTCTGATAAATGAATATGCAACACACACACAAACACACACACCTTTTGTCCACATGAAAACTGTGGTTTTTATAAAAAAATAAAAATAAAACTTTTTTGGGTGTGTTAAAAAGACTCTTTGTTGCCAAATGAACAGTTTTTGCTAAGACTTAATAAAATAGTTGAATTGTTAGAACAGCTGTTCTGCAAGACCTGATGCTTCGTGGTTGTGCTGTGCTGGTTCACTGGACATTCAGCACATGTCAACTTGGTAGCTGTTTACATTGCCCTTAGACCTGTGGGTTGTTTGATGTATTCGAGGTGCAATGCGCAGCTTTTCACCACAGCCTAGCCTTGATGGTAACATCTTAGCACATGAGCTACTTTAAGAGATGAGGATGAGCCTAACGTTAATGTTTGGCTGTAACACTCTTCACAGTGGAAGACAGGAGCTCACAACAAAGTGAACAATCTATTCCCTGTTTTTTCTTGTTTGTTTTAGGTTTTTTTTTTTTAAGACTGAGTCAATAGAAATTCTATGGATTTCAGCACCGGTCCCTTACATGAGAATTAGAAAATGAATGATGATGCTAACAGGATGATACAGTAGTTATTATTATAATTACGCTCAAGCCCTGGTTTGGGTGTAGCTCTCTGGTTGTCTGTTTGTTCGATGTGTTGCATTTCTAACATGTTGTTACTTGTGGAAACTGTAAGTAACAGAGATGTGACTATATTGTGGGCTTTTTGAATGTTGTGTTTGATGTAGTGAATAACAGTGAAACAACATGAATTGCATTGATCATTTATTTGATTAATGTTGTGATTTTGCACGTGTACTATATAGTGATATACATCAGTATCAAAGAATTATTGCAATAATTATTTAAACAACTAGGTAATTTGTTTTTCTACTTGAATTTAGTGTTTAAATTTTGACAACATGAGATGACATACAATATCATGCATACACTGTATAGAAACTGCACAGAGGATGTTGCAAGTGAGTGTTGTCTGGTCATTTCACTGTCAGTTGTGACACTCAAAAAAGCAGATGAACTAAAGCTGAGCTAGGCTGGACTCATGTTTGTTGACTCGTTTTTCTGAATTTGTAGTCCCTAAGATTATGCCAAACTTAGTCTGCATTGTTTGTTCAAGTTGCTGTTGCTTAATGGGTTCACTGATAACCTTTGCTGTGTGCACGGCGGCAGGTCACTGCTGTTTTCCTTTCACCGCATCTGCTTTTTAATTTGTACTTTGTAGTGTATTTCCTTCATCCTTTATCGGTTGCAAACACTAACGGTTTTTTGTTTTCAGGCCATACATATTCACATGGACCATCCAGGCTGTGTGGAAATGTTTTGTGATGTATTGTACTGCAGTATTACTGTGTATCCTGGAGTGAAGAGCTCTTACTTTGAAGCCTGTGCAATTTTTACAAATTGCATATGAATACTTTGATGGCCCCTTAAGGCTTGTGTGAAGGCAGCTTTTCAAACGTGGCATCTCTAACTTGGTCATCATTGTTAAACTGGAAGATCAAGGCAACTCAATATTGGTGCTCTTTCTTAAAGAGGCTGCATGTGGCCTGAATTCACAGAGGACATGTCAGCAAAACGTAGATGCTTTTCTCAACAAGATGCTCTTTCATTCACTCAGTCTTGTAACTGTTCTTCCCTCCTTTTTCTGTCTTGGTCACTCTATCTCTGGGGCCTACTGAGTCTTTGAATTAGGCTTTGCAGAGTATCACTGTGGTACAGAGAGCCATAGGAGGTTCAGGTGCTTAGCAGCCAGGCTGTTTCTTTATTAAGGCTGTTTGGGTGGCTGCTGGTTTGTTAATGCTGGTGTTAGGCGCTGTGAACATATACAAGGACTGTGTAACATGCCGCATGATGGATTTAACCTCTTTTTTGCAGATCAAAGTTAGTCTTTTAGTTTGCAACAAAATATGGAAATGTGGTACATTGTTCTTCATTTAAAACCCAGGTGAGAAAAATTTCTCTCTACACCTTCATACTGCCAGCATAAATTTTGTGAATGACATATTGCTTGGTGGTGTTTCTAAATTCAGTACTACTCATCAGTTTTTGCTGGTTTCCTCCTGGCTGTTTTTGGATGCTTGGGTTTATTTAAATTATGTGTTGTGTCCACACACTGGTTGTATGAAATGTGTATGACACCTTACTGTGCATTATATGTGATGGCCAACAGTCCTGTGAGTAC